GTCTTACCCCTAGGTTCTTCATGACCTTTTTTTTTTTCCTTAGATTCCATATATATGTGTTAGCATACGGTATTTGTTTTTTTCTTTCTGACTTACTTCACTCTGTATGACAGACTCTAGGTCCATCCACCTCACTACAAATATCTCAATTTGATAACAGGAAGTTATGAAGTTCATCTGAAAGCGTGAAGCTCATTCTCATCCTAGTATTTTCTACTTTCAGTTTCAATTTTCAATTTAGCAAATGTTTATTAAGCCCACTATGTGATTATACCTATTTATTGCAATTTAAAAATTTTTGTGCAGAGTGAAACATATCTCATTCATTAAACAGTTAACGAACTACTACAATGTGCAAAGTCAGGGACTTCCATTGTGGGAGGGGATGGACACATCAAAATCCACTACAGCTCATTTTTTTTTGCAAATTGCAGAAATGTCCTCTGACGCAGATTCTGGCATATTCTATAATAACATTTTCTAAACTATTTCATGTCATAGCACCAATAGAAAGATGATATTTGTACAGCCCCTGGGATAAATAGACGAGGCAGCTCAGGGTACTTAATCAGCCCAGTAGATGCAGCTGCCTCAGGTCCCAATTAGTTAACCTGATGGTATCTTCATACATCTGTAAACCATTTGTAACATGCGGCTCTGCCTTGTAAGCCACCATCACTCACAGCCAGTAGGCCACTGTTGTCTAAATAACATAACCTTCAGTTGTATGAAGATGGGAAAAGATAAATACTGGACTGTAGTTCTAGGCAATGGGCTGGGTTCTGAGGATTACAAAGATGAATACAACGCGGCACCTACTTTCACCAAGGTTGAAGCCTGCTGAGAGTGAAGATAAAGAAATTATCATTAGAGTACAGTATGGTAAGTGCCATAATACAGTTATACATAAAAGAGATACGTGTAATTGGAGCATGCAGAGTATATTAGCTCAGGTCCACTGAGAAGCAGACACTGAGGCATGTTTAGATATGCCGGAGGTCTATTGGGGAAAATAATCAGGTGTAGATAGGAGAGCTTCAGATGATAAAGCAGGTGTGACCTATATGAAGAATGCGAAGGGGGAGAAATGAAAACTGGGTGGAGTTTCATACTGCACTGCATTTCTAGGAGAGGTTTGGCCGGGTTGATGGGGAGGAATCCTCAAGCCAAAGTTACTTACTACAGGAGTCTCACCTTCCACAGGAATGTGCCAGAATTTATAACCAGACATACTCAAATCATTGGCTGGAAGCCTCAGGAGACCTCAGCTGAGCACAAAGATGCAACGCCAAGTAAGGTAAAACGGAAAAGTTTTCTCATTTTATTTTACCGTAGAACTTTGTTTGGCTCCATAATTGGGAATACTGTTGTTTATTTCAGCACCGGATTGTAGTCATAGAGTGTGATGTTACCTGTGAGATTTTCATATATTCTGTTTATCATGTTTGAGGAAGTTCACTTCTATTCCTAGTATGTTGGGTGGTGTTTCTTTTTTTTTTATCATAAATGTTATTGGATTTTGTCAAGTGTTTTTTTTCTTTCTGTACCAAGTGAAATGATCATTTGTGGGTTTTTTTCCTTGATTCTGTTAATGTGCTGTACAACTTTGATTTTATATGTTGAACCACCATTGCATTCCTGGTATAAATCCCAGCTAGTCATGCTGCATTTGAAAATGCTGCTGGATTCGGTTTGCTAGTGTTTTGTTTAGGATTTTTCATCTATATTCGTAAGCGTTATTGGTCGTAGTTTACTTTTTCTTGTGGTATCTTTTCCTGGGTTTGGTATCAGAGTATTGATGGCCTCATAGAATTAATTAGGAAGAGTACCATCATCTTATATTGGTATTTACCCAGTGAAGCCCTGGGATTGATTTGTTGGGAGGTTTATGATTACTGACTCAAAATCTTTACTTGTTATTATTCTCTTCAGATTTTCTGCCTTTTTAAGTCACTTTTGGTAGTTTTTGTGTTTTTAGTAATTCATCTATATTATCTAGGTTAAATAATTTGTTGGTGTACAATTGTTTATAGTATTGTTTTATAATTCATTTTGTTTTAGAAAGGTCAGTAGTAATAACCCCACTTTCACTTTCAATTTTAGTAATTTGAGTCTTCTTTTATTGAGTCATTCTAGCTACAGATTTGTCAATTTTGTTTTTTTTGAAGAACCAACTTTTATTTTTATTAATTCTCTGTATTGTTTTTCATTTATCTCTGCTATAATCTTTGTTATTTCCTCTCTTCTGCTAGTTTTGGATTTAGTTTGCTCTTTTACTAGTTCCTTAAGTTGTAATGTAGGTTACTGATTTGATATCTTGCTTAATTTTAATGGAGGCTTTCACAGCTAGAAATTTCCCTCCGAGCTGTGCTTTCACTGTATCCCACACATTTTGCTATGCTAGAGTGTTTTTGTTCTCTTCAAAGTATTTTCTACTTTCCCTTATGATCACTTCGTTGACCCATTGGATGTTTAAGACTGTGTTGTTTAATTCCCACATATTTGTGAACTTTCCAGTTTCCCTATTTTCATTCCATTTGCCTGGAGAAGATACTTTGTATGATTTTAATCTTTTGAAATTTGTATAGACTTAATTAGTGGCCTAACATGTAGTCTATCCTGGAAATGTACTATGTGAACTTTAAAAAGTGTATATTCTGCTTTTGTTGGATGAAGTCTTCTATAGATGTCTGTTAGGGCTGTTTGGTATATGGTATTGTTCAATCGAGTATTTCCTCACTGATAATGTCTAGATTTTCTATTTATTATTGAAAGAATTCTTATTATTATAGAATATCTATTTCCACATTCAATTCTGCCAGTTTTTGCTGCAAACGTTTTGGGGACTCTGTTATTAAGTGTGTATGTGTTTGTAATTATTATATCTTCTTGGTGGATTGACATGTTTATAAATATATAATGTCCTTCCTTAACTTAAAAAATTTTTTTTAATTTATTTATTTATACAGCAGGTTCTTATTAGTTATCTATTTTATACACTAATATGTATATTAGTGTACATATGTCAATCCCAATCTCCCAATTCATCCCACCACCCCCACCCCCACCCCTTTCCCCCCTTGGTGTCCATACGTTTGTTCTCTACATCTGTGTCTCTATTTCTGCCCTGCAAACCGGTTCATCTGTACCATTTTTCTAGGTTCCACGTATAGGCGTTAATATACGATATTTGTTTTTCTCTTTCTGACTTACTTCACTCTGTATGACAGTCTCTAGGTCCATCCATGCTTCCTTAACTCATAACAATTTTTGACTTAAATTTTATTTAGTCTGATATTAGTGTAGCCACTCCAGCTTTCTGTAGGCTATTATTCTCATGGAATGTCTTTTTTCATTCTTTAATTTTCCACATATTTGTGTCCTTGGATCTAAAATTAATCTCCCATAGACAGCATATAGTTGGATCATGTTTTCTAATCTGTTCTGCCAATCTCTTTTATTTTATTATTTTTTTAAGTGAAATATAGTTGAGTTACAATGTTGTATTAGTTTCTGGTGTACATCAAAGTGATTCAGCTATATATATATATATATATATATATATATAGATATTGATATATATATTTCAGATTCTTTTCCATTATAGGTTATTACAAGATATTGAATATAGTTCCCTGTGCTATACAGTACGACCTTGTTGGTTATCAATTTTATATATAGCAGTATGTATCTGTTAATCCCAAACTGCTAACTTATCCCTCCCGCTCTTTCCCCTTTGGTAACCATAAGTTTGTTTTCTATGTCTGGGAGTCTATTTCTGTTTCATAGATAAGTTCATTTGTATCGTTTGTTTTAGATTCCGCATATAAGTGATATCATATGATATTTGTCTTTCTTTGTCTGACTTACTTCATTTAGTATGATAATCTCTAGGTCCATCCATGTTGCTGCAAATGGCATTATTTCATTCTTTTTTATGGCTGAGTAATATCCCATTGTATATATAAACCACGTCCTCTTTATCCATTCATCTTTCAATGGACACTTAGGTTGCTTCCATGTCTGTGCTATTGTAAATAGTGCTGCAATGAACACTGGGGTGCATGCATCTTTTTGAATTAGAGTTTTCTCCAGATATATGCCCAAGAGTGGGATTGCTAGAGTATATGGTAGCTCTATTTTTAGTTTTTTAAGGAACCTGAATACTGTTCTTCATCGTGACTGCACCAATTTACATTCCCATCAGCAGTGTAGGAGGGTTTCCTTTCCTCCACATCCTCTCCAGTATTTATTATTTGTAGACTTTTTGATGATGGCCATTCTGACTGGCGTGAGGTGATACCTCATTGTAGTTTTGATGTGCATTTCTCTAATAATTAGCAATGTTGAGCATCTTTTCATGTGCCTTTTGGCCATCTGTATGTCTTCTTTGAAGAAATGTCTATTTAGGTCTTCTGCCCATTTTTTGATTGGGTTGTTTGTTTTTTTGATATTGAGCTGTATGAGCTGTTTGTACTTTTGGAAATTAATCCCTTGTCAGTAGCATCATTTGAAAATACTTTCTCCCATTCTGTAGGCTATCTTTTTGTTTTATTTATGGTTTCCTTTGCTATGTGAAAGCTTATAAGTTTGATTAGGTTTGATTTGTTTATTTTTGCTTTTTTTTCTTTTGCCTTGGGAGACTGACCTAAGAAAACATTGCTACGATTTATGTCAGGGAATGTTTTGCCTAAAACTCTCTTCTGGGAGCTTTATGATGTCATTTTATTTATTTATTTATTTATTTATTCATTCATTCATTCATTCATTCATTTATGGCTGTGTTGGGTCTTCATTTCTGTGCCAGAACTTTCTCTAGTTGCAGCGAGTGGGGGCCACTCTTCATCGTGGTGCATGGGCCTCTCACTATTGTGGCCTCTCTTGTTGTGGAGCACAAGCTCCAGACCCACAGGCTCAGTAGTTGTGGCTCACGGGCCTAGTTGCTCCGCGGCATGTGGGATCTTCCCAGACCAGGGCTCGAACCCGTGTCCCCCGCATTGGCAGGCAGATGCTCAACCACTGCGCCACCAGGGAAGCCCTGGTGTCATGTTTTATATTTAAGTCCTTAAGTCATTTTGAGTTTATTTTTGTGTATGGTGTGAGGGTGTGTTCTAAATTCATTGATTTATATGTGGCTGTCCAGCTTTCCCAACACCACTTGCTGAAGAGACTGCCTTTTCTCCTTGTATTGAATATATTCTTGCCTCCTTTGTCAAAGATTGACTATAGGTGTGGTGGTAATCCCTCCCTTTTAATTGGAGAGTTTAATCCGTATTTATTTCAAGTAATTGCTGATAAGGAGGGACTTCTGCCATTTTGCTGTTTGTTTTTGATATGTTGGTGTCCTTTTTTCCCTCATTTCCTCCATTACAATTAAATTGATATTTTCTTGTGTACTGTTTTAATCTTACTTTTTTCTATATTTTTACTGTATTTTTGAGTTATTTTCTTAGTGGTTGCCCAGGAGATTACAAATAACATCTTAAATATATAACAGCCTAGAACGTGCTAATACCAACTTACCTTCAATAGTACACAGATGTCTGCTCCTGTATATCTCCATTCGCCACTCCACCTTTATCCTGTTATTGTCACAGATTACATATTTTTATACATTGTATACCCATCAACCTAGACTTATGATTTATGAAATTGTGTTTTAAATCAAATAGTAAAAAAGAATTTATAAAGAAAAATACTTTTTACTTTATATAAAAATATACTTGCCTATGTAGTTACCTTTTTAGTGTTCTTTATTTCTTTATGTAGAATTGAGTTACTGTCTAGGATCCTTTTATTTTAGGCTGAAGGACTGCCTTTAATATTTGTTGTAGGCAAATCTGGTAAAGAGAAACTCTCATTGTTTGTTTGTTTGTTTGGTTTTTACCTAGCAATGTCTTAATTTCTCCTTCATTTGTTTAAAATAATTAATTTATTTATTTTTGGCTGAGTTGGGTCCTTGCTGCTGCGCTTTCTCTAGTTGCGGCACAGGCTCAGTAGCTGCGGCACCCGGGCCCAGCTGCTCCGCAGAATGTGGGATCCTCCCGGCCCAGGGCCCGAACCCGCGTCCCCTGCATTGGCAGGCGAACTCCCAACCACTGCACCACCAGGGAAGTCCCTCTCCTTCATTTTTAAAGGATAGTTTTGCCAGTTATAGAATTTGTAACATACTATGTTTTCTTTAAGTACATTAAATTGTAATCCCACTTCTTTCTGGCCTCCATGGTTTCTGATGAGAAATCAACTATTAATCTTATTGTGATTTTCTTGTTTATGATGAATCACTCTTGCTGCTTT